ACATGTGGCAAGGGAGAGGCTGTGACTGTCAAATGTTACAAGTCAGATGATTGCTCTGTTTTCAAAGGGCTGATGTTATTAGTGCAGTTTGGGAAAAAAAAAAAAAAAACCTCAATACGCCAAGGAAACGGAGTCATATTCCAGTTATAAGAATAGTACTAAACCACAGGACAAGTTTCTACTGTGAATTACTCACTTACTAAAAGACTGTTTTGTGAGAAAGCACAAAAGAATCATTTAGTTGTATCAATCAGACTCTTGTTCTGTGAGGTTTTAATGGAATGAAATTCTGGGAAGTTATGGACAGGTAGTTGTCATGATGAGAACAGTGTCATTATGGTCTATCCACATGGCAATAACAATATTTTTTTTTGTATTTTTCTCTGTTGTGTAATTGGTTATGTTTTAGTATAACCAAGCATTAAGCACATACAAGCTTATGCTGATGAAACTAGATTTTAGTATATAAATTCTGGGATTGTTGGATAGTGTTTTAAGTGAACAGAATGACAATGAGTTTTCTAGCAAGCTAGTCTAGAAAGTACATATTTTCATAAATTTTGAATTATATATTGCAGGCACATTTTTACTCCTTCTAGTAGTACTCTATTCTTTGTTCCTTCACATGTTTTAGAACTTCCTAATGAACTGAACTTTATTTATTTAATAAATAGTTCGTTGTTAGTTAATTTTAACTAAAATTATTAATTTTTCCCCAACATGAAAATACTAACATATTTAAGATTGTATTTTTTATGCATTAGTTTGACCATATCTGTACTTTCAACCTTGAAGAATTTCCAGTTACTTTTAATATTTTTGTTTTACAATTGAACACTGTAGTCCTTAACATAAATATAACTAGATGCTTCAGTAGCCTTTGTGTTTTACACATGTGAGTGTGCACTCATGTGTGTGAATTGATGGGAAAGCAGGGGACATAGAAAATGTAAGAAAGGAAGTAGTTGAAACTAACTGATTTGTTGTAGTGCCCCAAGGGGCAGGTATAATCTGTAAGCTGTCAGATTCTATTATAGGGACCGTTGCCATCAATCAGAGCTGACATTTGTATAGCAGAGGTTAGTATAACTGTAATTAGATGTATGTTTATAGAATCTAAACTGTGACATTTTTATTAAATCTGTAGCTTAAAAACATTCATATAATTTATAAACTTATTGGTTCAGTTGGTATGTGATTATGTGTTCATGTCACTGTGTTTTCTGTATAATGAATTAGTTTATTGAAATTAAACTTTTATATAGAGTTGGTTATGTATGAAAACAGGTTTTATTTTTAATGAGAGACAAAAATAGCATTAAGCTACTGTGGGTGTTTTAAAGTCTAAATTGTAGTGTCTATCTTCCTGGTTGAAAAATTTCCCATAAATATATTGAACATTCTCATCCATTTACCTTTGGTACCTATGAGGATTCTGGTTGAGAAAAAGATTGACAAGTGAAGAAGAAACTGGACTGAATTTAGCAGCTGTCAGCTGTACTTAAAAAATACATTTCTGATCAATAAAGTGATCTATTGATCTTCTACTTGGATGGACTTGTAAAATTCCATATTTAATTCCTTTCTCAATTATGTAGTTATATAAAAGACTAACAAATGCTCATCACCACTTACCATACAATCCAGCAGTTTCACTCTTTGGTATCTACATGAAAGTGAAAAATACCCACTTGTATGGAATATAGGCATTTTTATATTTCTTGCAGCACTATTTACAATAACAACATTATAGAAGCAACATAAATGCCAAGGGATAGACAAGTAAATTAAGAAGATATGATATACAAACACAGTGAAATACTATTTAGCTGTATAAAGAAAAGATAAATTCTTGCCATTTATAATAACTTGGATGGAACAGAAGGAAATTATGCTAAGTGAACTAAGTCAGAAGTTAGAAAGACAAAGACTGGATAGTTTCACACATGTGTAACATAGAGAAACAAAATGAAGAGACCAGCAAAACATACCTCAGATATCTGGTTGTAGAATTCAGGCTACCAAAGGATAGATCAAGGGTGGGAAGTGGGCCCAATAAACTATGGTAGAACATTATATGATAACTTGCTGGAGGGTATGATGTGGTAACATACACCTGAAGAAGTTTAAATGTATACCGCTAAATCATACATAGTATTTCAACCATTGTACTTCAGTAAAAATAATATTTCAAAATTAGTATATTCTTGAAAGTTAAAGGAGAATAGGCCTTAAATTTTATCATTTCTCCCCTCTCAAACCCCTCCCCCACAGTAATTATATGAGTGGATGGAAGTGTTAATCTTATAGTGGTCATCATTTTGCAATATATACATAAATTACATGTATACCTTCAATTTACATATGTTTTATGTCTGTAGTATCTCAGTAAAACTGGGGGGAAAGGTTGCAGTGTTTTAAAAGGCAAAAAATATTAACCTGTAGGTGAATTACCAGTTGAATTGATTCTGACAAGTCTTAGGTTCTTTTGTTTGCATCTTTGTACTGAATACACTATATTTTTTGGCACAATGATGGCGTATAACATGTCAACTTTGTCATTTCCCCCAAGGGATAGGCTTAAATTGGAACAGTTTCAAGTAATGATTTTTATACTCCTAAGGAACAGTACATTTATTGGAGAAGTTTAAGTTGACAGTAAAAATATTGACAGTTAACCCAAGCCCTAATTCAAGAGCATATGGAAATGTCTTGCATGAATTGCAATTCATTAAACAAATGTGACACTTTATTTTCCAGTCATTTTAGTTCATAGAGCTGAAGTGATGATATAGTAAGGAATCCACTTCTCAACTTGCTGAAAGTAAAGTATGGAAAAACAAATGCTAGAAAGGATTTTCAGGATTTGTATTATTTTCTGATATCAGACAAATTTGATTTTAAAACTTAATTGTTACCACATTATCTCTTAGAGTAAACTACAAGAAAGTTCACACCATTTTCTGAGTTCACGGTGGGGTAGGCAACCAAGATATAATTACTAGTGTCCTTTGTAACATTGCTAACATTTATTAATAATAAGCTACTTATTTTTTTATATGACATGAATTTACAATTGATGAGTACTACTGTTTTCTATAGACAGGCTATGTTTTTTTCAGGCTTGTAATGAAAAGGTTTGCTAGTGATCCCTGGGTATATTTGTTATAATAAATATATCACAAATCTTGGGTTATTTTAAATTTGTCATTTTTGAAAGTGAAACTTCTATTTAAATTTTGAAATATGAAGGAGATGTTAATTAATGCATGGTGAATGTTTCAACCCTTAGGTCTCAGAATTCATATTCATTTATGTAGCATATCATTTCTGTAAAACTTACATTCTCAACATTGCCATTTAGCTTTGGCAAATTAAGTAGTCTTGAATTTGTACTATTTTACACCTTAGATGCAGATTCCTTAATCTGTTTCATTATACAATGTTTTGTTAATATTCTGTGAAAAAGTGCCAAATTCTGTGGTTGATACATAGGTCACTTCAAAATAATAGCAGTGATACCTCTAAAAACCAAACAGGTCATATTGACAGTTGGTTGTTTATTTGCTTGGAATTTATATATCATTTGCAATCTACAAAATAGGCTATTATCTCTCTCTCTCTCTCTCTCTCTCTCTCTCTCTCTCTCTC